AATCATACCACTTATGCTAAAGTAGTATATAAAAGAAATTAATAAAATAGAAGTGTATAATATGTTGTATTGTTTTCTTCGTTAACCTTTATCGATCATATTTATTTTCTATGTACCAATTATTATGCGTATAGAATGATACACTAGTTTGGTTATATATCAATATGTATGCTTAACCAACTTACATGATTAAAACAACACTAATTATTACAGTTGTAAAAAAAGAGAAAGGGGTACAATGAAGTCAGTTATAAAGATCAAGTTTATTTTCCAATGACTAAGCTTTGTATAGTAATTTATTTACTAACTAATACTAATATACTGAACTATTCAACTGAAACAAGGAAAAATTAACAAGTGATGTTAACATGGTGTAAAAGAATCACAACAATTCAGTGTGATTTATGTGTATCGAGTGATTTTTAGATTTAGCTAATTGAGTCATTTAATAACATGATCAAATAAATGAGTTTATATATATATATATATATATATATATATATATATATATATATAATCTTATAATAATATGTAGTAATGTTAATTACACTACCATTTACTTATAAGATGATTGCGAATAATAATGACAAGCTATATAGTCAGTTAATCTACAGATTTATATTAATCTTAGTATGATAATTAAATCATCTCATCAAAGTTGACATTAGAATTAGAATTGGATTTCACTAAAAGTAGTGTAAACTATATCAGGTGAGACTAGAAAAAGATATACTTGTTTCAGAATATATGGTTATATCATAAATAATGCTTACCGCTAAACCGGATGATAAATGACCTGTTAACGTAGATTACAGTAACAAATTCAAAACGAAATCAATGTGTCATTCATTAGCCAGTCATATTGACTACTAAGAAAGTAGGTATTTGAATATAGTTCACTGACATTAATCAGATCACTGCAAAACAATAGGGCAAACTTTAAACAGTTGACTGATTATACTTTCAGACCCATCAGGAATAAGGACACATAACTATGACAGAGATTAGACCTAGAACTTCCACTTCTATCTGAGAGTACGTTACCTTTTAGATTACTGAGTTGTAATCCATGAGTTTATATTCCTATCTCAAACTACTTCATAGAACCGTGCTAACCCCTTTGAGGTGGTCATTATGCAGTGCTGGGGAGTTCTAGAAGAAGAAATAGTACGATATTAATCAATACAAAAAAGGGATCATTTAGTTTGTTGGCCGGATACTTGAGTATGAGTCACACGTTAATTGTGAAGGCTAATGGTACTATCAGGTTGACAAGAACGAAGAAGTTGGAACGGGATTTGAACCTAAGGCTAAGTGACCGAAGGTGAGCTCCTTTACCTTTAGGTCACCGATGATGATAGTGATACAGATGACATCCTCTCGTTCGGATTTACAATTCAGGCATTGAACTTAGTGACTTGACACCAAATCGTACACCGTTTAGTGTTACGTGTATAGTGACGAATCCCATTCAATTGAGTGATCAACATTGATCCGTAGTGTCATGATTTGGTCTGTGCATGATCGATCCTTAAGTAATCCAGTCTGTTAAAGTTGGGCATCTAGAGTTTTTCATCCAGTTCAACGATATTCTGTTGAAAACTGCTCCAGGTACTGCTAATAGTGTGTTGTCTCTTCCTTGATTATGAGAAAGTATTTGACAGAGTGTATGGTGGAACCTTCTTCGACACTATAGTGTGCTTGAGACTGTAAAGTCGTGCATAAAGGACAGCTGACAGATGCACCAAACGGGAAATATGGAATACTATGGATAGCTCAGGATCAATTTAAAGATTTGAACTTCATAGATGAACTGGATCACCTATCCCATACGCACTAATAAATTCAAGTGAAGACAGCCAGTGTAAGAGATGCCTCTACATCACTAGGCCTCAACATACACAACTGAAAAAGCGGGATCCTCAAATACAACACAATGAACACCAACGCAATCACATTTGATGGAGAAGCTCTGTAAGAGGTGGAAAGCTTTACGTACTTGAGCAGTAGTATCATCGGTGAACACGGAGGATCCGATGAAGACGTAAGGGCAAGGACTGGCAATGTTAAGGTGGCATTTTTACAATCGAAGAACATATATAAATCAAAATAACTATCTGAAAGTCAACATGCATTCAGAATCTTCAATACGAACGTCAAGGCAGTTCTACTGTACGGAGCTGAAACTTGAAGAATCACTACAGTTGTCTACTCAATATACTTAAGGTCCGTTGACAGGATATCGCCAGCAACAGTCTACTGTGGGAGAGAACAAACCGGCTCCCATCTGAATAGGAAATAAGGAAAGGGAGTTGGAAGTGGGTAGGACATACATTGAGGAAATCACCAAACTACATCACGAGGCAAGCGCTAACTTGGAATCCTGGAGGGAAACGAAAAAGTGGAAGGCTGAAGAACACATTACGTCGGGAAATGGAAGCAGATATGAAAAGGATGGATAGCAACTGGAAACACTTGGAAAGGATTTTTCAAGACAGAGTTGGATGGAGAGCGGCCTATGCTCCTCGATGGGGGCCAACAGACATAAGTAAATATGTGAGCAAGTAAGTGTTGAATGACTAAACGTAATCAGTACAAAGTCTGTAATGCAGTTGTTTAAAGTTAATATCATAGTGTTATCAATTTTTAGGACTGCATCGAATAAAGAAAGCTTGTGTGTTTATAATGACAATATCTTTTTAAAGGTTTATGTAAATGAAGTGGATTATATCTTAACGTTGCTCCACTGCCTCGCGGATTAGATCTCTGTATCAAAGGGTGAGGGAGTGAGTCCCCACGACGACCACCTGCTTTGATTTGGGCACCCAGGAAGTAATCTATTTCATGCAAAAATCTAATGATTTATGTGGTGGAAATATATTTTGGTACCCCTATGCAGTCCCTATATACCAATGTTTGTGTGTTTAAATAGATAATAATTTATTAGAATTTGTTATTGCTGTCTTATGTAGTGTTGTCTTATATAATTGATTTTTATTCTCATTGAAAAAACGATCTTACTAAAATGGTTCTCTACTTGGACAATGTCATTAGTTGTTACCGTAAATGACGATAATATCACAATAAGAATCAACTAGATTGTAAAATGTTTGGTTCATTCATTATTGTCTATTTGTTTTATGTCCAGTAAATACTGACAGCGATATAAGATATTTAATGAAATAAGTAGTTCTAATGTCTCCAAATCGTGTCATTCGTTCATTGCTTATAATCATATAAATCTCAGTTGTGAACTATAACATATTTCAAGGATTTCATGATTTTCATATCCCGCCGAATGAGAACCGATTTCTTTAAACGTTGGTGAAGTTATAATTTATATTTGTCATTTCAAGATATTCAAACTCACTCTTTTACCTAACCGACATTAATACTCACGCAGAGTACTTTTTTATTCATCATATCTGAGCAATATATATTTTAGATTGAATGAAATAGACAAATGATTAGACCAAGTGATTGATAAGTATCGTGATCTCTTGAAAAATCAGATTTTCCCTATTTGATTGTCTTAAGGTTGTATGCTTGAATTTTCAAAGAATTTCAAATTATACCAAAGGAGCTATTCGTCGTTTTCTCGTTATCAGTAGTTTATTCCCCAAATGACAACTTTAAAGTTAACCAAACATCCACAGACAACACATGTAATTTTATCTCTTCAAACTTACCTAAAATTCTCATTTCAGCTTAAATTATTCATAGAACATTTAATTCATGAAGTCTTCGGCAAAAAATTAATTTTTAAATAATCAATAACTAATTATAATAGTTGAGATCATGAGTCAATTGAAGCTAGACCACCATGAAAACCTGGAAGCATTGGGCGGCCGTTTCGTCCTACTGTGGGAATCCTCAGCAGTGCGCGTCTACGATCCCGCCTCACGGGATTCGAACCCAGAACCTATCAGTCCTTGGTTAATTACACTGCGTGTTGTAAAATTACGAGAAGACATTTTACAACAAAATGATTAAACGAAATTAAAATATGATCATCATAATAGTAGTTTCTAATCGGTTACTAACTGTAAACAAAATATCAGATAATATTGAAGATTTATGTTCTGTCTACAGTTATTTGTTGAGTTAGCTAGGTTTCACGGATTAGTTTGATGTCAATCAATCAGTCATAATTAACGCATTACCTGGGATAAATTCATCTTTAACCAAGCACGAGGAGAAAAATTAATAAAATGAATAGGAAGTCGAAAATATGTAGTAGTAATGATAGGAAGGACTGAACATTGAGAACATGGCTTGAAAAGAAAGAGTGAGAAAGTATGTATGAAGGAATACCGGAACTCAATATCTATAAGAAGATCAAGAATAAATGCATCTGTGCCATTGTGATTGATTTCGAGCAGTCTCACAACTTCAACCATTAACCGCTGTTCTCGAACAGACAAAATCATCTACACCTCCCAACACGTCTTAAATCAGTGACCAGTGATTACATTGATTGATGTCAAATTTTGGGTGAAATTAGCTGAGGAATCGTTAAAAACCATATAGCACTAGACAGCTGTTGTGGGCCTAGTTTTGGAATGTTTTGTAGTATAAACTCTAACCTTCCCAAATCTCGAAGCCAGGATTTCCACATTGTATAACAGACTTGTTACCTTTTGGACAGAACTCATAAGTTCAAATTTCTCAATGTAAACTTCTTCATGTTAAACCATGAACATTCTTATGTGATGAATCTATTACATGATTGAATTCCATCAAGCATGAATTCACTAGAATGACAAGGATTATTATTGAAGTCAGTCATTAATGAGTATAAGATTATTACATAGTTGAATAGACTTTGTAGATTAGTTCAGTAAGAAAATTGATTTCTTTTTTCCTAACAGATTAGCATCAGTGTTTTATACTTTTTAAACAGTTCCTCAGCTGATTTCAGTTTGTAAATAAATATAAAGAAAAAAAGAATAATAATGTACTTTTACAAAATACAAAAACTAAACAATTCAAAATGATACCTGAAAATCCATTGCATAATTCATCATCATCGCATAGTGTAAATATTTCAGTTAGAGATTTCCCAACTTCATCAGCAAATGATACAGATTTATTTAATTTCATATTTTTCGATGTTGACGAACGTGTAATTGGCTTATTCACAATGTTATTTACAGGTGGAAAAGAGTCAACATGTAATAAACTCTGTTCATTGTCTGATTCAGTTGAATTTGTAGCATTTATTAAAGATATTTCATTTTGTAATTCATTTATACAATTAGGATTTTGATTTTCAGCTGACAGAGAAAATTGAGTATCATTTTCATTTGTGTTTATTATTAATAATTCATTTTGTTTATTTATAAGTGAAAGGCAATTATCTTCGGATGGACAACATGAGCAAGCTTTTTCATCGGTTGTCTCCATCTCTTCAAAGTTATTTGTTTTCAAGTCTAAGCTTGTTGGTGAAATATTTTGTGTTTCTTCTAAATGTATTGATGTTGTAATATTAGTATTTAGATTTTGTTTATCTTTTTCATTATCATTCTTATTCTTAGTATTCTCAATATCTTGTAATAATAGTGAGGATAAGTTATCTTCAAGTGAAAATAAACCACTTTCACTGTTACAGTGACGACGTCTGCTTCGTTTACTGAAATAACTTTCAATTGTATCCCATTTAGAATGTACAACATGATCAGCTTCAACTATACTTGTTAAACTAGCATTTAGTGAATTTGAATAGGAAAAAGTTTTTAATATAGGGTAATGACTACGCCTTCTAGCTTTTCGCTCTAATTGAGATTGTGCAAAAATATAATCCGTAAATGAACGCTGATGAACATTTCCAACAAGTTCAGCATCTGTATTAGTTTGACGAGATTTATACATAATAAAATTCATTAGACGGCTTAATCCCAATAATTGTGTTAAACTAAGTAAATTTGCAGAATTATGACTATTAGATGTTTCTGTAAAAATATCAGTTTTCGAAAAATCTTGCATATCCAAAATAAGACTACTCATAAATGATGTTCTCAATGATCTTTCATCAAGATCCATAGTTTGATGATTACTTTTGGACATCCAATAGGGAAATGATAAATTATTCGATTCAGTATCCCAATTTTGTTCAATCAATTCTTCACTGGGATTAGATGAATATCCACAATTATTTAGTTCTCCAACGGATCCAGTACAATTACTTCCTAAATTATACCATTGTCCAACAAGAGTTCCCATTTCATTAATAAATCAAATAGTATTTAATAACGAAAAATTTATACATGAAATTATTATATTGAAAATTTGAAGGTATCTTCATTATGAATAATATTCACAATCACAAACCTTCACAATAAGTAAATCTAATCGAAATTACACAATTTGAACAAATCATATCTAATACAAGTAGTTTATTTCGATTGGTCACTTCTATTTATTATTCTATATAGAAAATAATATAATGACCTTTTCTTTAAATATAATTGGTCGAAATAATACATTAATTTAATCCAATCCTAATTAAATATTAAATATAGTTCATTATTTGACCTTCAATTCATATGTCTGTCATACTATCTTAGTCGTGTTTTAATCATTAAATACATGTTAACTAGATCAAAATTATATTGAATGATTCTTCCCCCCACTCTTTTGTTTGTTTTTTCTTCAGGTGTTGAATTTCTTTTGTTTATTTATTTTCTTTTCAGTCGATTGTAAATATGCTGATATAATAACTAATATAAAGTACAAATGTGTAATTATCAGAAGGGGTTTTGTGGAGATTTTTTAGTAAATTTAATAGTTGAAATCATGGGTCAATTGAAGCTAGAACACAACATGGAAAACTTGGAAGCACTGGACGGCTGTTTCTTCCTATTGCGGAACTCCTCAGCAGTGAGCATCCAAGACCCCGCCCCCGCGCCAGATTTGAACCCAGAACCTATCAGTCCCTTCTGATAATAATCATCTGCTCACTAGTGACTGACTTCAAGAGGCATTTCTTGGAGTTCTAGTGAGAAGCCGTGACCACTGGAGTTCAACCACGTCAGTTATGAGATGTCAGGTCACTGAACACAATGGTATACGGTGACGCAATTTCGTGGATTATTTGAAGTTAGATATTAACACCGTCGGATGCCGGTCTAGTAGATAAACTGATAGGTCCTGGTTTCGAATCTTGCAGGGGGTAGGTGCTTACTGCTGAGGAGTCCCATACTCGGACAAAACGGCCGTCCAGTGTTACCAGGTTTGCCATGGTGATCTAGCTTCAATTGACTCATGGTTTCAACTATTGAAATGTGTAATTAGCTTTTTTGTTGACTATTTTGTTGTAATAAGAGATTGAAAACTCCTACTATAGCTTTTTTAGAGTTATTGACGATTCTGGTAAGGCCGAGAGTGGAAAGAGTCCGCTCTCCCTCTCGAAATACTCTCACATGGCCACGCGTACATAGCCTCTGCCAGGGAAGTCCTACTCACTGCCTTCTCGTGGCATTACTGTTGTTTACGAAAATGAGAGGACGAAAAGCGAATGTCTGGCGCTTTAACCGGATCCCAAATCAATGGTGCACATGGGCTCCAGTATCCTGAGAGACCAATCGTTGGTCACCGGCTTCCATGGGACTGCATTTCCTTACAATGCTCCACTGCCTTGTGGATCAAATCTTCAGATCGAAGGCTTGAGGTGTGGCCCCCTAAGAAAACCACCTGCTTCGGTTTGGGAACCCGGTCAGTATCACAGCCCTCACACATATCAAATGAGATCTGTGTGGCGCATATATATTTGATGCCTCCTTGTACCAATATCTGTGTTAAAATAAAATAAAATAAATAAATTGGGTAAAGGAGGAGGATTGGGCTAAAAAAACGCCAACCAGAATAAATAAATTAAACTATTTATACCCTGCCCTTGGAGTTGAAGGAAGAATTATGAAGCCTCAGGATGAAAGCCGAGATTCTTCAGAATTCACAAGGCTGATGTCACTTTTAGCAACCAGAGCAACAATTTTTATAGGTACATGGAATGGGAGACTGGGAAGAACAGTCAAACAGCTACAGAAATGAGGAGATACAAGTTGTCAGTACTTGGAATCAGTGAAACTTATTGGACCCAAGCTGGACAGCAAATGATAGATACGGAAGAGATGCTGTTGTACTCCGGTCACGAAGAGGAAAATGCTCCACACACTCAGGGAGTTGCTCTAATGCTGTCTGAACAAGCACGAAATACTGGGTAGGAATCTCACGGATACAGAATCATCAAAGCATCATTCAAAACAAAGAAGAAGGGAATCACCATGAATGTTATCCAATGTTATGCATCCACCAGTGATAGTAACGACGAAATTAAGGATCAGTTCTGTGATAGGCTGCAATCAATCATAGAGAAGTACCCAAGAAAAAACCTCACCATCCTGATGGGAGACCTAAATGTCAAAGTTGGAATGGACAGCAATAGATATAAAGATATTATGGGACGACATGGACTGATTGGGAGAAAGGAGAGAAAATGGTGCGAGATTTGCAAATCTGTGTGCATTCAACAAATTGGTTATAGGTTTTACAATATTCCCACACAAACGTATACACAAAACTACATGGGTTTCATTAGACCACACTACTGAGAATCAGATAGATCACATTTGTATCAATAAAAATTTCAGAAGGTCATTGGAAGATGTGAGAACTAGGAGAGGAGATGACATAGCTTCAGATCACCACCAACTGGTGGTTGCCAAGATGAAACTGTAGCTAAGGAAGCATTGGACAACTGGGGAAACAGCATTACATAGGTTCAGCACGGCCTTCCTTCGACATAATGACAAACTCAACTAATTCAAGATAAATCTCAACAACAGGTTCCAAACCTACGGAGGACAACTGGAAAAGGATCAAAGAAGCATTAACTTCGACGTGTTAGGAGGTTCTGGGCCGTAAGAAGCATAATCACAAGGAAGGAATCTCTATGGAAACCCTGGACAAGATTGAGGAAAGGAAGAAGAAGAAGACAGCAATTAACAACAGCCGAACAAGAAAAGAGAAAGTCAAGTCACTAGATGAATACACGGAAGCAAACAAGCAAGTGGAGAAGAGAATTAGAGCGAACAAGCAGAAATATGTGAAAGAACTAGCAACGACAGCGGAAAAAGCTGCAAGAGAAGGAAATATGAGACAGGTATATGACACGACGAAGAAACTAGCAAGGAGATATAGTAAACCAGAGAGACCGGTCAAGGACGAAGAAGGCAAGCCAATCACTGAGATTCAAGGACGGATGAACAGATGTGTGGAATATTTGAGGGACTCTAAAATAGACCGGATCCAACGAATCCACCGGGTATCGAAGCAGCACCTACAGATCTTCCTATATATGTCGCTCCACCAACGATCGAAGAAATCAGAATAGCCATCAGGCAAACTAAGAGTTGGAAGCAGCAGGACCTGACAATATATCAAGCGAAGCATTGAAGTCAGACATCGAAGTAATTGCAAGTATGCTACACGTTCTATTCAAGAAGATATGGTGGGGAGAGCATGTGTCACAAACAGACTGGAAAGAGGGACACCTTATCAAGATACCAAAGAAAGGAGATCTGGGCAAATGTGAAAACTACGGAGACATCACATTAATGTCAGTACCAAGAAAGGTGTTCAACAGAGTGTTACTAAACCGAACGAAAGACTGAGTAGACCCCCAACTTCGAGATCAACAGGCTGGATTCCGTAAGGGTTGGTCGTGCACAGACCAAATTGTGACACTACGGATCATCGTCGAACAATCAATTGAATGGAACTCGTCACTGTACATCAACTCCATTGACTATGAGAAAGCGTTTGTCAATGTGGACAGGAGAATGTTATGTAAACTTCTTCAAAACTATGGAGTTCCTGAGATTGTTGACATTATTCAGAACTTATACAAAGGACCACACGGCAAATTCGTGCATAAAGGACAGCTGACAGATGCACCAAACGGGAAGTATGGAATACTATGGATAGCTCAGGATCAATTTAAAGATTTGAACTTCATAGATGAACTGGATCTCCTATCCCATATGCACTAATAAATTCAAGTGAAGACAGCCAGTGTAAGAGATGCCTCTACATCACTATGCCTCAACATACACAACTGAAAAAGCGGGATCCTCAAATACAACACAATGAACACCAACGCAATCACATTTGATGGAGAAGCTCTGTAAGAGGTGGAAATCTTTACGTACTTGAGCAGTAGTATCATCGGTGAACACGGAGGATCCGATGAAGACGTGAAGGCAAGGACTGGCAAAGTTAGGGTGGCATTTTTACAATTGAAGAACATATATAAATCAAAACAACTATCTGAAAGTCAACATGAATTCAGAATCTTCAATACGAACGTCAACACAGTCCTACTACATGGAGCTGAACCTTGGACAAACACCACAACTGTTACAAAAAATTTACAAGTATTTATAAACGATTGTCTACGTAAGATATTGAATGTCCGTTGGTCGGATGCCATCAGCAACAGTCTACTGTGGGAGAGAACAAACCAGATTCTAGTTGAAGAGAAACATAATAAAAGACGTTGGAGGTGTATAGGACACACGGCGAGACTCTAATTTAAGGACGAGCCAATCAGAAGTGTCTGAGCAACTTCAAGGTCACGGAGCCATGTTTAACACCTGATGCTCACATATGATCGATTTACAGCGTATTTTAGAGAAGAGGTTATTATTGAGTGGCTACAAGATATGGGACTACTGAAAAGTTCTTGTACGTGCGACTGCAATAAAGTGTGCAGACCACCGTGGTGAGATTACATTTCGTTGTTCTTCATGTTGGAGGAAAACGTCTACTCGAACGGAGACTTTCTTCGCTCGATCGCGACTGAAACTAAAGCAGATTATGATAGTAGTTGCAAATTGGGTAATAAAGACACCAGTAACACTGGCTGCGGCGTTTGCAGCTGTTGCTGAAACTTCAGCAGTCCTGTGGTATGAGTACTGCCGTGACATATGTGCAACTAAAATAACACGTATACACCAATCATTCGGAGGAGTAGGATGTATCGTGTAGATAGATGAAACGGTAGTGAGAAAGCGAAAATACAACAGGGGACGTAGTATAAAGGAGGATTGGGTAAGTATCATTTCCGTAAATATACTCGACAGGTACTTGGAAATTATGAATTTTTATACCGTGTGCAATATGACAAGTTTTTAAATCATGTAAAATAAGTATAACCACTGTAA